AATTAGAGTCTACAAATTTAGGTTTTCTTTTCTTTTTCTTTTTTTTTTTTGGTGCTGGAGATTGAACTGAGGGCCTTGAGCACACTAGGCAAATGCTCCATCACTAATCTGTATCTCCAGCCCTTTAAAAATTTTTTTTAAAATCTTTAAGACATAGGCCAGGGATTTAGCTCAGTGGTTTCGCCAGCTGCTGCGCAGCGCAAGGACCTGAGTTTGATCCCCAGTACCAAAAACAAAACAAAACAAAAAATTTTAAGACAGGGTTTCGCTAAGTTGCCCAGGTTGGGCTTGAATTTGCTATCCTCCTGCCTCAGCCACCACAGTCGCTGGGATTACAGATGTGTGCCACCATGCCCATCTGGGGCTTAGAGTATTTTTAATGCTCTTCCACTTACACACTTCACTTGAGTCTGCACTTTTGTTCTACTCTTCCCCTTAACCTTTAAATGCTTAGCATTCCATTTTTGGAACACCCACAACAATGGAATGTAATAAAAATTTTTTCTCTTCATATTTTTGTTCCTTGAATTTTCTACGTACCATGTATGAATTTTGTGTAAAAAATTTCTAAAAACTTACAACCTTCAGGGTAAAATAGGTTCTTTGTTTCTGTGTATTTGTAGAAACTTTTTTCTCTTGATGATAAGCCTTCAAATTGCTATATCCTGTGGCCAGACCATATGTTTTTAACCTATACTTTGTACTGTTGACTATTTCTTCCTCAGAATTCCTTCCTTTGGCTTCCTCTTTATTCTCCATTTCCCTTATGATCTGCTTATCACTTTTTAAAATATGGTTCTTGGGGCCGGGTATTTAGCTCAGTGGTTCCGCCGCCTGCTTTGCAAGCACGAGGACCCGAGTTCGATCCCCAGTACAAAAAAATAAAAAAACAACCTACCTGCATAAAATATGGTTCTTTTTCTTTGTTCCCAGTTTTTAACTAGGGTTCTATTTTTCTTATATTTTTAGTGTATATTTTATTTGAAATCCGATTTTTAACAACCGTTTACCGTCTTAATATTAACCTAACATTTATTGCTTATTGTTTGCTGTTACTCCAGTGCTTCAGTATTTGCCAATTTAATCTTCAAAACAACCAAGTGA